GCCTGCGCTGAGCGGAGCCACTCGCTGGCCGGCCGTGCTGGAACATCCCCCGTGTCCCCTCCTGACCTCGGCCACAATCCCGCACTGCATCCCGCAGCCGTGGGCACCAGGCTCGCCTTTCCTTCTCCCACGCTGTCGTTATCGGATGAGTACTCAGATATTTCTGTCGAAATTGTCTAAATAAATAAAAATACACAGCTATTTGAACAGAATGCTAATGAGATAGTAGAGCTTTATGTAGAAAGTTTTATGTTCCCTAGCCATCCATCAATGGAATGCCAATTTATGTGACCACTAAAACTAGTCCAGCTCAAGTAAGCTGGCATAAAACTGTAGATGAGGCAAGTTAACTAACTTGGACAACTTTACTGTAAATGCACATTAATTTTTTGTCAGTCAACATCAACTCCTGAATATAAGGACTGTCTCTTGAGGGACAACTGAGATGAGCAACATTTAGATTTTTTAAGTAACTAGGTCTGGAGAATCAAGCTAATGCCTTTATCTGAAGTAAATTTCGAGAAAAGCAGAGAGAGGCTAATGAGTGACAGGGTTGATAACTGGCAGGAAAGCTGAAAGAAGGAGACCTTTTATATTGGGATTCAAGCAAATAAGAAGGTCAGCTTCCATAGTCTGAACGGAGGGAAGAAACACATGCCTCTGCTGAGACCTTGTAGTTGGCAACAAGTATGCAATCTTTTGTTAAAACATGATTTTTGACCACTAAAGGCCAGCCTTTGTCCATGTCCAGCAGGCCTCCAGCTTCCCAGGAAGGTTTCAGAAGTGGAGCATAAGCTGTTGGGCTGACTCCAGGTAGCTCTAAAGATGGATCACTGCTCAGCAGTCAGGGCTGTGAGCCAGCAGGGCTGGAGTTCAGACCCACAGAACATCGCTGGAGWTTTTCTCCCTGAACCTCACAGAACACACTGAACTCATCCCACTGAGGGAKGGATGGCAGGGGAGCATGAGAAGGCTGAAGAAACAACTCTGCAGAGACATGGAAGGCTGAGAAGGGGGCTCAGAGGGCAAATTCACCTGCTTTGGCTGAGCTTGTTTATTCTCCTCTAGAGCTCCTGCAGAAGCAGGGCAAGCTGCTGCGTTGGCTCCCTAAGGTGAGCTCTGCACAGCTGTAATGTGCATYATGTTTTCTTCACSCAGTGTTTCTTGAAGTACTGAGTAYTAAGCAAAAATACTTGGAAAGTGGCATTTTACCTAGTACAGAACAAAATGATCTAAACCACTCAAGTTTTAGAGGACCAAGAAACATGAGCTGGGCTTAGTCTTCAGAAGCTAGTTGAAAAAAAAACCCCAAAACAGCCAAACCAACACTGTCTGCAAGTTCTGGTGGGGTGTCCAGGGACAGTCCTGTCACTGTGACCACAGAACTAGTCCAGCTCAAGTAAGCTGGCATAAAACTGTAGATGAAGCAAGTTAACTAACTCATTTGATCCTTGAAAGAACCAAAACACAAAACATTAACTTTGCATTAACAATGGAAAACTGGAAAACCTCAAAGACTGATGTTGCTCCAGATGACGCTGCCTCAATCACAGAACAGGTCCTGAAAAAAAYTAGCCCGTTCCTCTGGTTAAATGCAGTGAGCCGTGCTCCACACAGGTTGTTWGACAACTGGCTCAGATAAAGACTTGAAAGGTAAAAGAGGGAAGGGAGGGAAATCAMAGCATTTGTTAATGGTGTTCTATATTATTAATTAGTGTAATCATCTGAATAGAGCGTTTCTCGACCGCACAAAAATAAGTTCAGCTCTTGCCAGTTCTCTAATACATATTTCACGTAAATGCCGAGACATTGTGCTCATGTTCCRAGAGCTTACCTAAGTATTCTGGAAAGTGGAAGGACCTTTTAAAGTTCCAGAGAAGTAGAACAGCTACAAGAATGTAATTAATATCAGTCGGCTTTAAACACAACACAGTCAACATCTGTCCCTTGGCAACAATATTTCTCTGAAAACAAACTCCTTCCACATTGGAARTGAGCCAAAAATAAAAGATTTCAAAGCCTCTGAAAGCAGTAAGCAAGCACTTCATTCTTAAAACACCATTCTGATGCACTGTCTTGCTTTAGGAATGCTTTAATTTTGCTCAAATAGCTATGATATCCACTGCACTTTAAAAAAGGACACAAACCTAAAGTTCTCTGTACAAGTAAAATGCAAATGAGAAAAGCCCTTGGGATGTGCCTCAAGTTAAGTACGTTTTAATCCCACTGACTGTTGTAAGAGTTAAGAAGCTTTCCTAACCAAAGATTGTCTAATAAATMATTTCTGCTAATATTTGTTGCTATATACTTGTTTAGACTGAACTTCCCCAAGGAAACTGTACTTTGGGGTTTTTGTTTTGTTTGCTTGTTAGTGGTTTTTCGTTGTTGCTGTTTTTTTAATTGGTCAGTTGGAAATTTTTCTTAAAAGAGGAAACTCTAAAAATGGAGAAGAAAAACAAAGAACAAAAAGCTAGCTTTCCAATTCTGTACATTATTTAACTGTAGCCATCATCAGAATTCCAGTCTAAAGAGAAAAACATTGTCAAAACATACAAACATGATTTTTCAAGTATTCAGTAAATTAGCTGGCAAGTCTACCAACAACATGGTGGGGAATTGCTGTCAAAAAACACAAAATCYTTTTTTTTTAATTTACTTTAAAATAGTTAATAATTTTTAATAATTAAAACACTGAAAAATAGTGAATAAATCGTTTATTTTTTATTAATATCTTAAACATCACAAAGAAGGATTTACAAGCGCTTTGCTGTTGTTTTATTGGGATTTTTTAAAAAAAAATATCCCCAGTAATGTCATTACAGTTTTTGAAGAGCACCACTGCTAAGCACAGAGATTTTTCAAAATGAGTTGATTTTTCTGCGTGGCTTATTATTTTGAAATATAGTATTTTTGGTTACAGTGGCTGAAAGTACAATGCTTCCCACTACACAAAGGCTCAGTTTCCCCACCTCAATCCCCTTCTCTGACCCCTGATCCTAACATAATCGTTCCCAATCCGGTTTTGTTTCATGACTGTCTCCTATATACCCCAATCCCTCCAAATACTTTGTAGCAGACTRTTCACTAAGATACACCTTTATTTCCAAATGGTGTCCTCGCCACAACACCCTCTTTTAAATCATGCTAGCCACCTGTCCATATTCAAGGGCTGACTGAAAAAAAAAGTYAGGGGTTGACCTCAATCTCTATCACTAAAACAACCAACATAGTTAATTTTGTTAAATTTCGAAATAAATCTATTTTCTCTGTGACTGGTGTCATCTGAAAAGCTCTAAATGCTCCCCTTTTAAGGCTCTTTCGTTCAAGGAAAAATAACAAGTATAAATGCACAGACTACTTCCATTTTTTTCTCTGAAGATTTGACTACATGAAAGCAAAGAAGTCATTGAACACTGTATCAGAGTATCCAGGACCCTGTGTTTTAAGGTTAAGCTTTTTTTCAGTCAAAATGCATTGAAAAAGAAAGAGCTCTCAAGATTAATTTATGATGTATTTTTGACAGCATTCACCCGTACTAGTTAACATAGAGGATGGTACGAATGTGAAAATAGAAACCAAAATGAGGAAGCAAATACCCTCCCAACCAAGCAGCAGAGATTGCTAAAGAATGTATGTTTACCCGTGTCAGTTGGCATTCACTAAGAACAGAAAAAAAAAAAAAAAACAAAAAAAGAATGTATGTTTACCCGTGTCAGTTGGCATTCACTAAGAACAGAAAAAAAAAAAAAAAACCAACAAAAAACCAACCACAGAAATTGTACAATCCTAGCCCAAATTGTTCAAAGACAAAACTATTGACTTCAGTGGAATGAAGATGGCTTTCTAGAAGCACGTGGATTTCACACACATGCAGCAGACACCATGCTGTTACTTCTGTGACCAAGTACACCATGCCTCATCCTCAGGAGATCTGCTTCAGCTACCTCTTGCTTCACCTTGAACACCTTGCCAGTTCTCTGGCAGTACCTTGGCAACCTGCATAGTGTTTGCCTCTAAAAGGCCTGAAAAAATTACCTTTTCACTTCAATAGTGAYGGAAGCAAGCAGTATCTGTATTTGATCAGTTTAATAAGCACTTGATATTTCTTATCCACAAAAGTTAATACAAGTGTTATATTTCCATTTAAGTTTCCAGCTTCAGCACAGAAAGCAGAACCTTACATAGATTTCCGTACAAAAAGAAAGCTAACACATCAACCCTATTAAATAATAAATCTGTATTTTTATAAAAGGCCCTCAGACAGTGATTGCTGATTAGAGGCAAGGTGGTGAGCAGTTGTGAGAGTTTCTCATCCCCGTTGTCTCTCCTCCCAAGATACAACACTCAGCAATTTCTGCAGAAAAACCACACCTTACCTTTGTATTCATTAACTCTTTGCTATGTTCAGTCATCATACATTCAGATATTGTAAATCTTTCCCAGTGGATATGAAGATACTTTACAKATAAGATGCTCAATAAAGCTCACAGATACTCTGAACAAGTTCATCAGCTGAAACCAAGATACTTCAGCACGCTGCAGTATGTCTTAGAGACAAAAAATGGGTATCACATTCTATTTAGACATTGATAGAATTTTTTGCAGATGGAGGTTCCTTAGTCTGTGATTTCCTTCCCTAAATAAAATAAAATTCTTCCCTGCTATTATCCTACTACAGCCTACAGTTCTGCCAGCTCAAATGGCAGAACTAACAGAGTTTCTCAGAGCACCCTTAGGGAGCCAGGCTTTCTCAAGGTCACAGAGCCAAGTTATGTCAGAAATGGTATTTCAGAGTTTCAGATTCTGATCACAGTGCATACAGAGAAAAATTAATCTTGTGGCATCTCCTTTACTACTTGTTCATTCATGTATCCTTGCCTCTGTTTCTGGAAGCATTTTCTACTACCTGTTCTTTCATGGACTACTTTTTTCCCTTTTGTGATTTTTTTTTTTCCAGAGTTAATCTGCATTTCCCCTACCTGCCCTGCTCTCAGGATGAGTGGAAGCTGACTAATATTAACAAACACACACAGTGAGCACAGGTGAATATCCTACTGCCTCTCCTTTCACCCAGTCTTTCCTTGCAAAAAGCAAAGCTGCATTTGTACTGAAGGTACTTCACCATCGTGCGTGCAAAGGGATTCAAATGCAGCAAACTTCCACCCCAGGCAGCTGG